TCAGCTCCATTAAACCATATTAAAAGATACAAATTTCACTGTTAAATCATGTTAACTAGACAACCAATGAAGAAAAAACCTAATTGTAAAGTGTTTTTGTGCATGGTCTCAAGCTGCTTCATTTCTCATGTTCTCACACACTTTGTTTTAGTGCTGAAGTACTACTAGGGCAATATCTCTGCATCTATCTAAACCATCACTGTGGTCTTTATGTTATTTATGTCAGCAACTGGCTGTGCTGTGTAATTTCTGTTGTAGAACAAAGTTTCGTAATGTTAACCACAAAATGATTTTTCTCATCAAACCTGTAGAAAATTCTCACGGGAACTCTTGGCTCGAAAACGACAAGTCTCCTCAGAGATTTAGGACTATATCTGAACAACAGTTTATTAAGATTATTGTATGTGTACATAGTCATACAGTTTTGCCATATATAGTGTACATTTTGCAAGTTGCTATCAAATTTGATGGTTAATTATCAAAAGCATAGTTCACCCAAAAATGAAAATTCTGTCAATTTGTCATTCCAAACTAGTGTGCATTTCTTTTTATTTTGAAGAGTGTTGGTAACCGTTCTGGTAACTGACATTTGTCCAAATATCTTCTTTTGTGTTTCGTAGAAGAATGGACACCATACAGGTTTAAAATGAAATCAGGGTGAGTAAATGATGACAAATATTCAGGTGAATAATCTTGGCTCATGTTGTCCATTTTTACGCAGTACTTTCACTCTTAAAAATAAAGGTACTTTTTGGGCATATATGGATCCATGAAGAACCTATAACACCTTTTTTTTTCAAAAAAGGTTCTTTAGACTATAAAATGTTCTTCACCCTTATAAAAAAAGATTCTTCTGAGAAATGTTCACTGAAAGGTTCTTTGTGGAATCAAAAATGGTTCTTCTATGACATCTCTGTGTAAACCCCCTTTTTTTAAGAGTGTTGTTGTATGATAGAAATGAACCTATAGCTTGCATTGATTTCACACTAAAACTCACACAGCATTTCATTCTACGAAATGACTAAAACTACTGTTAAATCGTCTGAATATGTACTTTTTAACGTGGAGCTGAAGATTTTGGCTCTTTTATCAGACTTTCCTCTCCTCACGCTGTTTTTCAGTTCATTATGCTAATTATATGGCATGATTGGGTTTGATCCTTAGCAGCTTGATTGAGCTCATCCCTGGTGAATGTGTCTCTCCTCCCTCTTTCTTCATCTCTCTCTCTTTCTCTCTTCACATCGCTGATTGCAGGTGAAATATGATTAAAGTGAAGACGCAGCTGTTCAGAGTCGAACTGACAAAACAGGAAACATAATGATCTGTCCTGCTCTCTGAGTGTTACTGTCACTCTTCTCTCATCGCCGGAGACAAAAGCCTGAGGAAAATACGTTTATTCATGTTTTACTCACTTTTAATTTGGTCTCTCTCTTATCTACCGATGAGCTTCATCAAATGCCTACAGAGCTCAACGGCTCCCAAGGTAAAAACCTCTGTAAGATAGATTTGTAGAAATAATACATCAAAGTCGCTGTTACAGTGAACACATGAGTCACAGCAAAATCCTCACAGTTGTGAGATTTGTAGAAACAAAGGCTAGCTATGAAATATTAGCTAGCTTTAATTCTCTACCATAACTACTTGCCAAATTATTTAAGGTGAGCAGATTTCTGAATCGGATACATTTCCTATTTGAGTAGTCAAAATATCTCTGAAATCTCATTTATTTTGATCTATTAATTTAAAAAAACTGGGAGAATAAATTTTTGAATGTTTCTGTTTTTTATTTGTTGTGGGTTTCCTATATTATTTTTATCAACATGAATAATTATTATGATGATTAGTTTGATTATTAGGTTTTTACGGTCTGGTTTTAATACAATTCTCCAAAAATCAGTTAATAGCAAGCATTAATATATATATATATATATATGTATGTGTGTGTGTGTGTGTGTGTGTGTGTGTGTGTGTGTGTGTGTGTGTGTGTGTGTGTGTGTGTGTGTGTGTGTGTGTGTGTGTGTGTGTGTGTGTGTGTGTGTGTGTGTGTGTGTGTGTGTGTGTGTGTGTGTGTGTGTGTGTGTGTGTGTGTGTGTGTGTGTGTGTGTGTGTGTGTGTGTGTGTGTGTGTGTGTGTGTGTGTGTGTGTGTGTGTGTGTGTGTTATAACAAAATAATGACTTTATAGAAAAAAAAAGACATTAAATATAGCTGTACTTATTTCTAACATGTTCTAATTGTATTTCATATTTTCAAACCAATTATAATACCATACAGTATATACAGCAGTTACAACCTTTTTAACTTCTCAAATGTTTTTTCATGTTTGGAAATTACTCTTACTATCCGTAATTAAACTTATAATAATTTTTTTAAAATCAGCTCTGCAGACATCAACCCGTTCTGTTGCATGTCCCTTTAAATGCTAATGAGCTCTGCTGCCCCCGCCCCTCTCTTCCGTGGGGTGACAAGCCGTGCTCTGAGAGACTGTTTACTTTAGCAGCATTTAGCCGCAAAACTTGCTAACTAGCACGTTATTAGGAAAGGTGACTGCTAAGATTCATAAAAAAAACCCTTATACTCAGTTCTGCTGTAAGTGAAGCTGGATCACGAATGATTCGCGCAAACATAAACGCATTTATGTAGATCGGGAGGCACATTCCCTTCAAAAGTGAAAGTAATCCACTTCAGCGGCTCAGATGTCGTGAGTAAATGACGACTGCTGTGTTCATTATTACATCCAACAACAGAACACCTCAATCACTTAGGAGCCATTCTTGTCTACGTCCCTGCTCCAGCGTCGAAATAATGGCAGACTGTTCAGAGCTCACTCAGGGCGGGTCAATGCTGAAACGCTAGTGTCAATCAACAATCGTGGGAGGGGCCTGGGTCTGTGTGACGTCACACAGCCAAGAAGCTGGGAACGGCCTGATTTGAAAAAGGGATATTAGTTTTAGGGATTAAATAAAAACCACTGGGTGGATTTTTATCATTATAGGGTAGATGTGCACACACACTGCCAACACACATTTATGTTCAAACAACATGTAAAAGTGAATTTAGCATCCGATGACCCCTTTAAGATGTGTGTGTGGAAATTGGTTTTGACGGTGGAAATTTTGGGGACATTTAATACTGACAGCGAAACAATCCAGCACCCTGTTGAGGCCTTGTTATGAAGCACATACAGACAATATTACTTCAATATATCAATCGAAAGTGTGTTGCTACATTGAAAGCAATAACGTCTCTTTTTGCTCTGCTCTTGTCCAGGTTCAGTTCTTCATGAAGTAGCGATGCCCAACCAAGTAATCACTCAGCTTTTTATGAATGCAGTGTGGCACGGTCACTGATTTACACATATAACTCATTCATACTGTGTCGTTTTGTCTCACATTTGAGATGTGCTCAGATTTAACGTTGCTCTGTGAAAGATAAGGGCTAAATCCAGTCATTTCAATGAGAATTCACTCAAGAGTACTGATTTCTAGTCGTGTCCATTTTTGGAAAGCCAAACAAAGTAGTTTCGCTTTCACAACGAAACACAGCATCACAAACGGCAGCCTAGAGTGACCAGAGGCCGGGGGCTAGAGTGAGCGGCGGTGGCCTAGAGTGAGCAGAGGCGGGCGGGCTTGAGAACGGCGTGGCCGGCGGATTCCACGAAGGAGGCTTCCGGCAACCACATGTGACGACCCCGGGCTGGACTCCGCTTCGTTCACCGTGAAAGCCGATCTGGCGATCCACAGCGCAAAGTTGTTGTATTTCCTCAGCAACCAGCACGGATCAGCTCCAGGCATGACGAAGCAGATATCGTCCTTTTTTGGAAGGCCAAACAAAGTAGTTTCGCTTTCAGCGGCGGCAACAACAATACTACAGCGAGAATAAAAGTTACGCCTTCTTTCTTTGCGTGAACATTTGGGCGCCGTTATGCAAATCTTCCCAGATAGTGACGTAGATATGTGGGGGCGTGTTAGAACGAGCCATTTTAGGTAGGAGTGGCTGACTCATAAAGAATATAAAGAATATCTCTTTGGATTTGAGACTTTAGTCTTTGCAACTTTACAGATCTTCTTTAGCTTGTAACACTCCATCATATGACCCCTTTAAGGTCACATTTGTATTGCTTTTTTGCTGTACAAGCAGAGACAAGCAACTACAGTATTGGCTCTTTCTGATGCTGGTAAATCAGATTCAGTCTATTGAATCAGTTGGTCCTAAATGGTCCTCGTGGCTTTGGAAATTTTGATTCATTATAGTGAGTAGGTTTGTCCTAAATCACTGTTTCTCAACCCTGGTCCTGGGCGCCCCCCGGCACTGCACATTTTGTGTGTCTCCCTAATCAAACACACCTGATTCAACTCATTAGCTCATTAAAAGAAACTCCAGGACCTGAAATGGGTGTGTCAGATAAGGGAGACATACAAAATGTGAAGTGTTGGGGGTGCCCAGGACCAGGGTTGAGAAACACTGTCCTAAATGGTCCTTTCTCTCATATGTAGCTTTGCAAAGCCTGATTAATTATAGCAAATCTGTTCATCTTAAATGGACTTATCTCTAGTATTATTCATTCTAGTGATTAATTTCGTTGGAACGGTTCTTGCAAATGAACACATCACAAAAAGTAATTCATTTCCTCATAAAAGACAGTCCACAGTCTTGTGCATTTGTCTAGGCCTCATATCGTACAGCTCTGAGGTTGTAAAGCGATATGCATTCAACCATCATTGAATACCTCTTTCAATCTCGTACTGCTGTCCCATAATGCAGTGAAAGTAACGGCTGCTCTGGGATATGTACTTTATGACTGTTATATAGAGAAGCTCAGTGAACCACAAATACTACAGTTATTTACATGTCCATGTAATTTCAGTACTGCTTTTGATGTTTAATAACCTGGAAAGTGATAGAAGAGGAAATGTGTGAATGTCTGAATGCTGATTTTATTGAAAGAGACAAGCTATATCAAGCTCAATGGGGAAAGCTCCCATGAAACCAATTATTCCACTTGAAAACACATTCCTCAGTAAATATTGTGACTGTTCTGACATTGCTAAAGAAAATGATCTGACATCAACAGAAACGTAAACTCGAGATGTATGAATGTGTCAAGTGCTTAGGAGTGTTTTAGTAAAAGTAGTATCAGTCAAGTGTTCGGTAAAGCAAGCATCACAAGTAATAAGGTACTCGAGGTGTGCTGTATTATGAATAAGGCACGGCTAGGCATGTGACAGTATCAAATTTTCATGTTGCGATAATTGCTGAAGCTTTTATCACAGTATACGGCATTACCACGATATTGAAATAAGTTGTCATAATATAACAGGTTTAATTACTTTTTTCTTTTAAACAAAAACAATTGAACATTTAAATACAATAACGCAATACACAAAAATGTATAAAGTCAACAAATGTTTCAAACAGATTAAAGTGCAAAAGAATTATAAAGAACAATAGGTAACACTTTACAATAAAGGCCTCATTAGTTAACTTTAGTTAATGCATTAACATTAACAATGAGCAACTGCATTTGTAAAAAAAGTTATTCTTTGTTAAAAGTCCATTAAATTATACAGTTACAACTTTTGATTTTAGTAACATGTTATTAAACGTTGAAATTAACTAAGATTATTAAATGCTTTAGAAGTATTTTTCATTGGCACTTAACTAATGTTAAATAATGAAGCCTTAATGTAAAGTGTGACCGTCACCGAACAATAAAAAGTCAAACCATTTTCAAACAATATCAAGGGCATGTTGTATCATTGAATAAAAAAAAGTTTGAAAATTAATAGCCTATTAAGTCTAAGTATTAAGTATTCAGGGCTGCTATGAACACCATTACAAACACAAAAATCTGAATGGTTGTTTAAATCATTTAAATATTGATCAGAAACAAAAAAAGCAGCTATTTTGTTTACAGGGGTTACAGGAGTAACGGCAGCATTTCTGCTGTTCCTTCAGCGCCATCTGCTGTCAGAGAGAGAATGTGCACTTTTTTGGGGCTCGTTTACATCAGAGTGTGCATGCCTCTTTGACACATCATACAGAGGTGTTGTGCATTTTAGTTGATGGGGAAAGTATTCTTAAAATGCATTAAGAAATCGTAATAATTTGTAATAATTATTCACAGCATTTTGAAGTGCCCACGATAACAACATTGTGCATGTTCATTACCGTGATAAATCGTATTACCGAATACTGGCAAATGTCTGGTCACGGTTGAAGGGCGCTGCTATGCATGATGCGAAGCGGAGTCACTGCAACCCCTTTAGCCGTGACTTATTCACAATACAGCACACCTCGAGTACCTTATTGTTTTTATAAAACGGTTACCATACGATACAAATGTTAAAATCAAAAATGTATGTATTGATGTTACTTTTTTCAAGTAAATTCATTAAATATTTTTCTGCTAAAAATAGTACAGTGAATAGCAAGAGAATGTTCAAGTGTAACAAGCCTCATCTTATGGAACTTATATAAAAACAGAGAGTAGGAAGTGTTCTCATCCGCCGTGTCATTCATTCATTCATTCATTCATTCATTTATTCATTCATTTATTTATTTATCATATATTATCTTTTTTTCAAATATCTTTTCTGCTGATCTCTCAGCATCATTTTAGTTTAAAACAGACGGATTTAAGGCACATCTTGAATTCGCTAGTGTCATTACAGGGTAAACTGATAGACATACAGTAACACACCTGAAACAGAATGATAAATACAGTAATGTGGGCTTCCACACAGACACGTGCACAAATAAACGTTTCTCCCACATGAGAAAAAGTGTGCCGCACGAGTCCTGTAAAGTGAAGCCAAAGTGTCTTGATGTCTGGATGACTGGATGCAGTATAGGTCATAAATCCTGTGAAATGTAATGGGATCTGAAAAATTTAATTGCACTTAAAATATATTTTTTCCAAAGATGGTTTCCGTCATTTGAGATAGTTCTTATCATGCTGATTTATGTTAAAATGTTCGTTTTTCTAATAAGTTTACTTTTAGTTAGTTATTTGATCCTGGGGTGGTGTCCTCGGGACTTTGATACTTTGAGGCTCCAAACAAATCATTCCAAATGATTCGCTACTGCCCAGACTCTGGCTCCAAACGAATCTCTACTGTACAGACTGTAGCTCCAAATAAATCACTACTGTGCAGACTCTGGCTCCAAACGAATCTCTACTGAACAGACTCGAGCTCCAAATAAATCACTACTGTGCAGACTCGAGCCCCAAATGAATCATTACTGTGCAGACTCTGGCTCCAAATGAATCATTGCTGCACAGACTTTGGCTCCAACTGAATCATTACAGTACAGACTTGGGCTCCAAATGAATTGCTACTGCGCAGTGTCTCTGGCTCGAAATGAATCGCTACTGTGCAGACTCTGGCTCCAAAATAATTGCTACTGCAGATTAATCGCTACTGTGCAGATTCTGGCTCCAAATGAATAATTACTGCAAAGACTCTGGCTCCAAATGAATCATTATTGCGCAGACTCTGGCTCCAAATGAATCACTACTGCGCAGACTCTGGCTCCAAATGAATCATTATTGCACAGACTCTGGCTCCAAATGAATCATTACTGCGCAGACTCTGGCTCGAAAAGAATCGCTACTGTGCAGACTCTGGCTCCAAATGAATCATTATTGCACAGACTCTGGCTCGAAAATAATCGCTACTGTGCAGACTCTGGCTCCAAATGAATCATTATTGCACAGACTCTGGCTCCAAATGAATCATTATTGCACAGACTCTGGCTCCAAATGAATCATTATTGCACAGACTCTGGCTCCAAATGAATCATTACTGCACAGACTCTGGCTCGAAAAGAATCGCTACTGTGCAGACTCTGGCTCCAAATGAATCATTACTCTGCAGACTCCGGCTCCAAATGAATCATTACTGTGCAGACTCTGGCTCTGGATGTTTTGGCTTCACTTTTCTATAGTAGAAAGGAGTGGAGACACGTCGTCTATCTATTTTTACAGGCTATGCATGAGAAGAGTTAATTTGACAGTGGGAAGGGTGTGGCCAAAAAAGTTCATGACACAGTATAATGCCAGCAGGGGTCACTCATAATTCATTACAAAACAGTTAATTTGCTGAAAGACATAAGACATGGAACAGTTTTGATGCTATATTGATTGTTTGTGTTGCTAAGGGTGTTGCTCAGTGATACACTGGGTGAAGCGGTCATAGCAGTGCTTTATTGTGAATAAAACAAAGCTGTTGACCAATCAGAATCGAGGACTGGAACTAACCATTTAATAATTACTATTATTAGCTCAAAAATAAACATATCATTGACACATTTGCAAATATAAGTGTTTGTGAAGCCATAACAAGCATTTTAGTTGTTACACAGTCATTGCTCTTCTGTTCTTTTTGTGACTTTCTAATTTTTTCTCAAAAAGAGACCGTTTAGTGCCTCTGGTTTCTGTGGGCGAGTGCAGTGCTCTTTTGATAGGGACTGCAGCAGCTGGGAGAGACAGTGGCTCTGTTGTCATCACAGGCAGACGCAGCAGCTTGTGGTGGCAGCCCCAGAACACAGCCAGACAGGGTCACGACCCCCTCAGAAATCAAACCTGCACTCCGCCACATGCAGCGCTGCGAGCAATGAAAGTGGACCTGATCAACAACTTTCACATCTCTTATAATCTTTAATTGGTTCTTACTATTTTTGTTTTTCTCGGGTCGCGTGTTGGTGTCTCTTCAGCTTGGGCTTCCACTGACTAGGGTGGCATATGTGCCATTTATACGGGACACGTCCTGGCCAGGATTTTTATATTGCCTAAAACATCCAAAGTAATTTGACCAATAACATGCAGGTATTGTACATAATTGACCAATCGTGGCGCGTTGCGTGTGAGAAGGTGAAAATGATCAAAGCGATGCAAAGACGCGCACGTGTTTGTTCGTTTGTTCGTCCGTCTTGAAGCTGCGCACCGATCATTGTATGACACCAAAGTACCGCGAGAGCGATTTGAAAGCATAAGGAGTTGTCTGCTCTGCTCTCTATAGCTCTCGTGAAATAATGTCGTACAACGATCGATCTGCACAGTGCAAACACACTTCTATATTGCCTGGATATTTTAGGCAATACAGAAATCCTGGCAAGGGTGCGTCCCATAAAAATGGCCTGTATGGTCATCCTACCACTGACAGAATTTGGTTACATTTTCATTCATCTCTTGAGGAAACCCAGGAGCACGGCACGGTGTCAGGCAAATTATCACTGGAAAGGGAATTCCATGACGGTTCCTCCATCAAACCGGGTCGGAAAAGACTGACTACATTCTTCCACAACACCCATTTAAACACAAGCAAATGTAGTCAAATAAGGGTTGCCTCCACCTGGGCTTCACTTCGTTATGTAATGTTAGGAACACTCCTGTTCTGTATATGAAAACACTCCATTACACTGGACAAACAAAACTGAGTATGTTTTTGCATTGACTTTAATACGACTCCAAGTCCAACAAGAGGTATGTTTACATGCACTCATTTTCATCAGTCAGAAAACTCTCCGATTTCAGATTCTGAAAGTTCTGTTCGTATGAACCCTAAACGTTGCAATCCAGTTCATATATTCGTTTATATGTGCATAGTACTATTACATGTAAGGTCACCGAGCATAATTACAAGCATAATTGCTGCCTTGATGACATCTAAAAGAAAGCTGACATATAGGTACAACGGGGCTAAAGGCGCACTGGGGTAAATGGCGCCTTTGATATTATTTTAATCGAAACCACTAGATGGCACAAAAACGTGGCGTAGCACTTTCCAAAACATTCGCTTTTCAAGATGCATGTGTATATTTGTCTGATCTTTGACGCGATCACGCGCAGCAGCGCAAAGTTGATTCTGTGCTTGATCTAATATTTTATGTTTTTTCAAATGTTGTAGATGTAAGTAGCAAATTAGAATCACTAAAATTAATGCATATATTCTGAGACAAAGGTGTTTTTAACAATTTTCTTTTTTTTTCCTTTTTAAGATAATTAAAGCAACAATTTTGAAATAACTAAAAAGAATATGTAAAAGTATGGTATTTGGGGTAAAAAGCACCCCTGCTGTTGGGACTAAAGGCACACAGTAATTAACATGATAATTAATAGATGGCTGACTTTTCTATTTGTTGACATGACATGGTTAGATTCAGATGGTAAATATCAGATATTATGTTGGGTGTCCATATTAGAGATAATCACCATGTTTAGAATGAAACCATCATATTTAAAAACATGATATTAATCACATCATATAATAAAATATAATTTGTTGTTACTACTGTAAATATATATTCAATTATTATTTGATCTCCTTCAGTGCTTTCAGAATCTTTATTTATTAAAATGATTTTGTTTCTGTATTTTAAAATATATTTTTCTATTAACATTTTAATGACAGTATATTTATTGAACAAAAAATGTATTCTTTTATTTTTCAAAATAAGCGGAAAATAGTACAAACTTTGCTAATGTAATTGTTTTGAACAAGTATTAACTTAGACACTATAAAAAAAAATAATAATAATAATATTTTAGCTGAAGTATTTGTATCAATATTCAAACAACTTGAATGATTTATTTTCACACAAAATCTGTTGCTCCATTAATGTTCAATATAATCCGAGTCCAAGTCCGTGTCAAGTTTTTCTGTTGAATGGATCATTTTAGGCCATTTTAAGTCCCTTATTTCAATCCAGTCAAAGTTTCATTCGGCTCGAGTTATTTGGGTGCATGTAAACGTGACTAGTGACTGCATCTGTGATTATCAGAAAATTGTTTCTGAATAAATGAACTACTCATCTCATAAAGCATTGTGGGTCCCACTTTATATTAGGTGGCCTTAACTACTATGTACTTACATTTAAATTAATAATTTGGTACAATGCACTTATTGTGTACACACGTGTTTTTATATTGTACTTATATTTAAAAAAATACCTGCATGTAATAACATCTGTAATTAATTTCTGTAATTACATGTATAATTACACCATTGACCCATCCCTTACACTTTAACCCACCCTTAAACCTACCCATACCACCAAACCTGTCCCTAACCTTACAGCAGCAGAAGTGATTTGCAATACAACATGAACAGAATAAGTATATTGTACTTATTTTTTTATGTAAGCACATAGTAGTTAAGGCCACTTGAGATAAAGTGGGACTGCATTGTGAATTATATAGTGTAATTTAATAAGGCTGACGCAGTGGGTAATTGATGTTGAAAAGACATCAAACACTGACCTCAAAAAACAGGTAAAATATGCAAATCAAACTAACGTCAAAAACTTGACATGACATTGATTTGATGTAAATTGAATGCCAAACATATTGGCCTAGATATACATTAAACCAATTTCAGTGTGGGATTAACTTCCTATATTCACCAAATTACCACTGGAAGAAAATGCTGTCCAAACTAAATTTAAAATGATGCTATGATATAGCATCTTGATCAAGTAAGTGTTACTACAGGACTGTGTTGTGTTTTGTGTGTCTGTGTGTGTGTGTGTGTGTGTGTGTGTGTGTGTGTTATTCTCAATCATCACCTCATTAAGGCTGGAATAGCAGGTGAGCAGAACCCGGCCAATAAGAGCTCTAATCAATCAGCTGCTAATTATGCATGCTGGGACAGGGACAGTGTGAGGGGAGGGATGCAGATCTTTAGCATTGGTTAAGTGGGGACTGAAGCTTTCTTTTTGAGTGACAACAGTGTTGACCATCTGAGGGAGAATCACGCACACTCAGAAGTCACACTCAGAGTAGTCAGGAGAATCGCTTGAGGTGCAGATGGCCCTTGTTTTCCAGCACAGAGGAATATTATGTAAGTGGAGTCCAGAAGCCTGAGCATGCCAGGTCTTGCTGTTGCATCCCGGGAATATGTGTGCATATGGGTATGTGCGTGGGAGTGGAAAGATAGAATGTGTGTGGAACTGTAAATAGCACAAGTGTTAATAACACTTATATTTAGGACACTCATATTTTCCTGTCACTGTCTTGTATGATTATATTACATGCTCATTGATTCATCCATCCAGTAAGTTTGTGTGTATTATTTTTTTTTCTTGTGGTAAATGAGTAACTGAATTTCTGTAGAAAAGGGGAAAAAATAAAAAAAAGAAAGAAAGATGGACCAAGCATATATCCAATAGGCACTCATATTCAATGACTGTACTTTATTATTACTTATTACTTTATTGTACTTTAAGTATTTTTAAAGTATTACTTGGAACATGCAGTGGTGGCCAAAATTATTAGAACACTAAAAACTTCTATTAACTAAATTAAATCAACATTTTGGAGTGGCCTTTTGTTGTGGCCAGCCTGGGGCACACCTGTGCAGTGGTCATGCTGTCTGGTCAGCGTCTTGATGTGCCACGCCTGTGGGGTGGATGGGTTGTCTCGGCGGGGGAGGGGTGCTCATTGGTGTAAGCATCCTTTGCGTTTAAAGCAGCTTTTGCCCTCGGTGCACTTGTGCATAGTTTCTCAGGTAGCTGCTACAATGGAGCATCTTGAGGATCACCTTTATCAGATTGTCCAGGTCACAATCTGGACCTGACTGGACTGTCTGGGTCACAATCTGGACTGAGCGGGAGGAGTACAAGGATATAGTGCTCTTGATGAGTGGTGACAGGTGGTGCTGATTAATAATCAGGAGATTGGGATCTGGTGAGCGTAGTTGGTGGTGACTGTGGTGACTGTGACTCCCTGACAGTACCCCCTCCTCCAGGGGCGGCTCTTGACGCCTGACTACAGCGACGAGGATGGCCATGGCCTCTGGGTGCGGGACACCCAGGACCTTTCCTCCTGCCCGTACCCCTCCCAATCAATGAGGTACTCCAGGTGGCCGCCCCGTCGTCGAGAGTCCATGATGTCCCACACATGGTAGATGGAGGGTTCTTCCATTACTTCGGGAGGAGGAGGTACTGCGGGTGCGTTTGGACCTGGGGCAGAGGGATAGAAGGGTTTGAGAAGTGAGACGTGAAATGCAGGGTGGATACGATACCGAGCTGGGAGTTGCAGGAGGAAGGTGACCTTGTTTATCTGCCTCTGGATGGTGAAGGGACCTATATAGCGGGGGCTCAGCTTCCTGCAAGGCAGGTGGAGACGCAGATCCCGGGTCGAGAGCCAGACCTTATCTCCCGGATGATAGACGGGGGTGTTGGAACGTCGGGAATCTGCGAAGGCCTTGTGTCTCTTCACTGCCTGCTGGAGATGGACATGGGCTGAGTCCTCTCTCGCTAGCTCGGAACCAGTGGTCTACAGCTGGAACATTGGAGGGTTCCTCCGTCCAGGGGAACAGAGAGGGTTGGAAGCTGAGTATGCACTGAAACGGGGTTAGGCCTGTGGTGGTCTGTTTGAGGGAGTTTTGTGCATACTTGGCCCACGGGAGGAAGCGGTTCGAGCTGTGTTGGTTGTTGTGGCAGTATGACCGGAGGTACCTCCCAATCTCCTGTATCTTCCGCTCAGTCTGGTCGTTAGTCTGAGGGTGATATCCGGAGGACAGGCTTACTGTGACACCCAGGAGCTTGAAGAACACCTTCCAGACATGAGAGATGAATTGAGGCCCACGGTCGGAGACGACATCCTCCGGGATGCCAAAATTATGGAAGACGTGATGAAACAGGGATTCGGCAGTCTCCAGGGCTGTGGCTAGGCCCTTGAGGGGAATTAACTTGCAGGCCTTTGAGAACCGATCCATTGCAATGAGAATACAGGTAAACCCCTCTGAGTTGGGTAGATCGGTGACGAAGTCAACTCCGACTCCGACGTGGGACCAGGGACGACGAGGGATGGGTAAAGGTACCAGTTTACCAGCGGGGAGGTGATGTGGAGTCTTGGAGATAGCACAGACTGAGCAGCCGTGGACATACTGGGAGACATCCCGGGCCATACTGGCCTACCATTACCGAGCTTGGAGGAGCGAGAGAGTACATTGGCTGCCTGGATGTCCAGAGCCCGGTGAAGCGTGAAGTGAGCCCAGAAGCGGAGCAGGCTCGGCAATGGTGGCAACACGGATCTGATCTTCCTGATCCCATTGGATGGGGCTGACAATGACGGCTGGAGGTAGAATAGGTTCCGGAGAGGAGGGAACATCAGGTGAGTGGATGTGGGAGAGTGAATCAGCCTTGATGTTCTTGTCTCCCGGTCGGTAGGTGACGGAAAATTGGAATCGGGTGAAGAAGAGTGCCCAGCGGGCCTGGCGGGGATTTAGCCTCCTGGCACTTCGGAGGTATTAGAGGTTCTTATGGCCAGTGATTACCGTGACGGGGTGTTGTGCTCGTTCCAGCCAGTGCCGCCACTCCTCCAGAGTCAGCTTTATGATGAGCAGTTCCCTGTTACCGATGTTGTAGTTCTGCTCCACTGGGGCAAGCTTCCTGGAGTAGTAAGCGCAAGGATGGAGGCGGGGAGGCTCTTCGTGGTATTGAGACAGCACTGCTCCCACGCCGATGGTTAAGGCGTCCACCTCTACTGTGAACGGGAGTTGGGGGTCCAGGTGAGTGAGGATGGGAGCAGTGCAGAAGGCCTCCTTGAGCTTCTTGATGGCGGCCAGAGCTTCGGGGTTCCAGGACAGAGACTTGGGCTGACGACAGAGCATGGCAGTGAGGGGGGCTGAGAGGAGGTTGAAATTTTGGATAAACCGTCGGTAGAAGTTGGATAATCCTAAGAATCTTTGGAGTTCCTTGATTGACTGCATTTGGGGCCAATCACGGATGGCTTGGACCTTCCCTTGGTCCATCTGAAACTCATATGCACTGAGGATGTAACTGAAGAACTGGACAATGGGGCAGTGGAACTCACACTTCTCGAGCTTCAGGTAGAGGTGGTGTTTCCTGAGCTGCTGAAGGACCTGCATGACGTGGTGGCGATGTTTGGCCAGGTTCCGGAAGTATATCAGGATGTCGTCGATGTACAATATGACAAATCGGTGGAGAAACTCCCGGAACACCTCGTTCATGAACCCCTGGAAGACGTACGGTGAGTTGGCTAGGCCGTATGGCATCACCTGATATTCATAGTGGCCTGAGAGGGTTATGAACGCCGTCTTCCACTCGTCGCCCTCCTGGATTCGAACAAGGTTATATGCACTCTGCAGGTCCAGCTTCGAGAAGATGTAAGCCCCACGGAGTTCATCGAGGGCAGCCGGGACTAGGGGAAGTGGATAGGGGAGCTTGACGGTCTGCGTGTTAAGGGTCTGGTAGTCAATGCAGGGCTGCAAGCCTCCATCCTTCTTGCCCATGAAGAAGAAGCTCGGGTGGAAGAACCGTTGTTGGAGAGGCTCCTTGATATAATGCTCCAGTGCCTTGCGCTCCGGGATAGACAGTGGATAGACTCGACCTTTGGGTAGTGTGGCTCCAGGCAGCAGGTCAATGGCGCAGTCCCATGGCCGATGCAGGGGTAAATGGGTGGCTGCCTGTTGGTTGAAGATATCCTGGAACACCGCGTAGTCAGATGGGATTGCCGGGCTCTTCATGGGGTTCAGGACTCTCCACGAGGTTGGAGTTCATCTGGAGACAGGGGGCTTTCACCGGGGCGATGGAACATTGGACAGACAATTCTGGAAACAGGCCTCACTTCATCGGAGTGCTTTGCTTTTACATTGTAGTTATATTTTAGAAAAAAACCTGCATAATAACATCTGTAATTAATTTCTGTAATTACATGTATACTTACACTGTTGACCCATCACTTACACCTTAACCCACACTTAAACCAACCCATACCACCAAACCTGTCCCTAACCTTACCCATATGCACCTCAATAGCAGCAGAAGTGTTTTGCGATACAATATGAACACAATAACATTGTACTTATTTTTGATATAAGTATATAGTAGTTAAGGCCACGTAAAATAAAGTGGGACCTTTTTTTTGCTGGATTGATCAATGGCTTTATAAATCCAGTGAAATATCTTGTATGTGGGCCTCTTTGAACAGAATTTTATTTTTAATGGTCTACAAAATCCCTTTCTCTGAAATATTGTAATTTGGCGAAGGTATATTGATGATATTTTTATGTTATGGTCAGGTACTGAAAGTCAACTGCTACAATTTCACAGTTTTCTTAACACTAGTGATGAACACTTACGTTTTACAGTTAATTATGATGATTCATGTGTTAGTTTTTTGGACATTCGTATTATTAGGAATGGCAAAAAAATAATCACAGATCTTTACAGAAAACCCACTGATCGTAACACACTTTTGCATGGACAGAGCTACCATCCTACAACTTTGAAACGTAGCTTGCCCATTAGTCAATTTAACCAGATACGTCAAATTTGTAGTACTGAACAGTCATATACACAACAAAGCACTGATCTGGTTAACAGATTTAGGGAGCGAGG